TGCATGGTAGAGTCTACTTAAGTTACATAGGGGTGAAGGGGTTAACGCCATTTTGAAATGTCTATGCTTTCCTATTTTTCCAGTTTTCAGAACAATACCAAAACTCCGAGCTACTATGAAAATATATATTTGTAATTCTAATTACATAACACGATGCCAGTATTTTTGTCAAGAACAGGAATTTAAGCCATGTTAAATCACAGACACTTGAATTTAGCCAATAGAAAAGTAATTCAAAAGATCCGGTCCGGATCCGGATCGGCCTCAGTATATACCGACACTTGATGTATTCCAATAGAAAAACTAGTTTTTTTTATATAATACATTTATATCATCTAAATTTATTTTCTATTGGTTCAACTCAAGTGCATGTGGTGCAACATCCGGCCCTCCCGAGTTTTCATCAGACTTCGCTCAGAGCACAGACTTCCATAGATGTACTTTGATCGTTATGTTGTTAATCAAACACAAACCGAAGTTGCGCCGCTGTTTTAAACATGTATATGATGGTAGGTTAGACATTCATGTCTGATGTCGGCCAGGGAACACAGGACTAAAATTCCGGAGAAAGATTCTATCTCGGATTTGATTTCTTCCAAATTCTGAGACAAAATATTTGCAAAATAAACACAATATCTTCAAAAAGTGTGTAATCTCCAGTCGCATAGTTGGTATATTTAAGATGCCGATTACATAACGATAGGTATTAAAAAGATCCCATGCGTGCGCGCATGTTTGTGGAGCGTGCTGTTCCTTGGTTAACCTTATAATACATGTACTCGTTCACTCTAATTTGCCATAAACCGCCCCTGTCCGTATTTCAAAATAACACGTCCCTGGAGACAAGTTCGGGCCAGAAATTCCGGGAGCAACCACGCCCACATGTACTTTGTCGTGTGCACTTTGCATGCCACATGTAAATTTGTTTATAAACAGGTGCTCAGGCCAATCCTTTACATACATTCTTCATCTAGATTTTATCCCTGTAATTTATACACTTTTTCACAACGTCTTACTTGTAAAGCATATCTTTGCGTCTAAGACGGCATTTATAATTCCATGTCTGAAATCAGTTAGCATTGATGAGCGTAAGGCAGGTGTACAGAAATGCTATGTATGTGTGGGCGTGAGGTGTCTCAAAATGATAAAAGCAATCTGTTATATTTTAGATGATACGGATAATAATGATCTCGAGAAGTTTAACATTTTCCCTTGATGGAAATGTTCCAGACTTTGCAATACAGCTTATGAATTAAATAATGATCACATTTATTGCTCTCGTATAACAGCCAGTCACTTGATGGCGTGGCATGAGGGCATATGTTTTATCTTCCAAAATTACAAAATAAACACCATGTTTGAGAGGTAACGGTACACGTGTAGTCAAAGCTATAACAGTTAAACTTTTAACAGAAAGTAACGGAACATGTTGAGTCTTCGTCAACATTTGTGTCTGTTGAAGAAGTTAACAGTACACGTTCAAATTAAGTTAACAGTTACTTCTGATGACGAGAGCTAGATAACGATAAACATTCAGTTTAAATTAACAGTTGTTTCTGATGACGAGAGCTACGTAACGATAAACATTCAGTTAAAGTTACCATGCAGCTATTTTTGATGACGAGATGTAACGGTAAACATTCAGATCAAGTTAACACTTGTTTCTAATGACGAGAAGTAACGGTAAACATTCAGATCAAGTTAACAGTTGTTTCTGGTGACGAGAGGTAACGGTAAACATTCAGACCAAGTTAACACTGGTTTCTGATGATTTGAAGTAGCGGTAAATATTCAGACCAAGTTATCACTTGTTTCTGATGACGAGAAGTAACTGTTAACATTTAGATCAAGTTAACACTTGTTTCTGATGACAAGAAATAACGGTAAACATTCAGACCAAGTTAACAGCTGTTTCTGATGACGAAAGGTAACGGTAAACATTCAGACCAAGTTCACAGTTGTTTCTGATGACGAGAAGTAACGGTAAACATTTAGATCAAGTTAACACTTGTTTCTGATGACGAGAAGTAACGGTAAACATTTAGATCAAGTTAACACTTGTTTCTGATGACAAGAAATAACGGTAAACATTCAGACCAAGTTAACAGCTGTTTCTGATGACGAGAGGTAACGTTTAACATTCAGACCAAGTTCATAGTTGTTTCTGATGACGAGAGGTAACGGTAAACATTCAGACCAAGTTCACAGTTGTTTCTGATGACGAGAAGTAACGGTAAGTATTCAGTCCAATTAACAGTTGTTTCTGATGACAAGAAATAACGGTAAACATTCAGATGAAGTTAACAGTTGTTTCTGATGACGAGAGGTAACAGTAAACATTCAGACCAAGTTAACAGTTGTTATTGTTACACCTCAAGTGAATTTCTAGCTATTTGATCGTTTGGAAGAAAATTAAACAAAAATCTCTGTCACCCTCCGAAAATACATTGGTTTTAAGGGGCGCGGGTGATATTGCCATGAGACAGTGAAAAATATCACATGCGCGAAAAATATGCGTTCACCGCTTCGTTTCCCCGCCGTGATGGTCACAAGAACGTTTGACGGCAACAGCCAATTTTTTCAGGCGCCAGTGCGTTAGCGATTGTAAACAGCAGACTATCAACAAACAAGATGTCATTACCGAGGTTTGCTGCCGTTTCTGAGCTACAAAGACTTTTGGTGTAACAAAATAGATATGACATTCATAAGCAGGTGATAGTGAATATTGTCAACCCTCAAAAACCCATTGTCACCCTCGGCTTCGCCTCGGGTGACAATGGTTTTCTCGGGTTGACAATATTCACTGTCACCTGCTAATGAATGTCATATTTATATATTGTTACCTGACTCGCTATATAAATGCATATTAATCAATTTCGAATGTTTCCCAGACAATTCACCAAACGAACTATAGCTAATGTGTGCTACCGTAAAACTGTTGACTGGACGCCGTAAAACTATAAACTATTGACTGGTCACGTGAAATTGTTGACTGGTCATGTGTAAGGTTATCGAACGCACCTATAATTACAAGCACCCCGATGATCAAGCGTTTTTGGTACTGGATTGTTGACGGTCGTCTGTCGGTAAACATCACATTCGACATGGAACTTTTTTCTTTTTCATTGGTCAAGTAACAAAACAGTTGTTTCATGCCTTATCAGTCAACAGTCAAAACCATTTCCCCTCGAAGTTGGGAACCACCAGATGAACTGTTTCCAGAGGCCGCATCTGGTGGGTCCTAACTTCTCGGGAAAATAGTTTTGACTGTTGACTGATAAGGCATAAAACAACTGTATACTGATGACGAGAGGTATTGGTAAACATTCAGACCAAGTTCACAGTTGTTTCTGATGACGAGAGATAACGGTAAACATTCAGTTAAAGTTAACAGTTGTTTCTGGTGACGAGAGGTAACGGTAAACATTCAGACCAAGTTAACAGCTGTTTCTGATGACGAAAGGTAACGGTAAACATTCAGACCAAGTTCACAGTTGTTTCTGATGACGAGAGGTAACGGTAAACATTCAGACCAAGTTCACAGTTGTTTCTGATGAAGAGAAGTAACGTTAAACATTCAGACCAAGTTAACAGTTGTTTCTGATGACGAGAAATAACGATAAACATTCAGATGAAGTTAACAGTTGTTTATGATGACGAGAGGTAACGGTAAACATTCAGACCAAGTTAACACTTGTTTCTGGTGCCGAGAAGTAACGGTAAACATTCAGACCAAGTTAACAGTTGTTTCTGATAACGAGAAGTAACGGTAAATATTCAGATCAAGTTAACACTTGTTTCTGATGATTTGAAGTAGCGGTAAATATTCAGACCAAGTTATCACTTGTTTCTGATGACGAGAAGTAACGGTTAACATTTAGATCAAGTTAACACTTGTTTCTGATGACGAGAAGTAACGGTAAACATTCAGATCGAGTTAACACTTGTTTCTGATGACGAGAGGCAACGGTTAACATTCAGACCAAGTCAACAGTTGTTTCTGATGACGAGAAGTAACGGTAAACATTTAGACCAATTGTATACAATTGGTGAGTATAAAGTGATGATGCACATATGCTACCAGGATGGTCCAGGGTCTGGCCACATCCCTGGATAATTAGTCCCTGGGTCATAACTTTGCAATGGCTGATATCCCCATCCCTTAACCACATATATATGTATACATTTGCTGGACATAAAGAGACAGTCAAACGCGTGTTAACAGGATTGGCTTTAGGGTCTGCCTCAAAAAGCTTTAGTGACTTAGTCCCTGGGTCATAACATGGACGCATTTGAGATCCCCATCCTTTAAAAATATATACAATGGCTGATCATGAATGTTTGGATACACATATGCTACCAGGAATGGTTCAGGGGACTGGCCTCATCCATCGATGGAATTTTATTTGAAATACTACTTTTAATGAGAATATTTCACCATTGTTGCTTTAATAACTATATTAGCGACACAGGCCGTATGGACCTCTTGCTTGCAATACCACTTCCCATGAGAATATTTTACAATGGTTGCTTATGTATCCAGGTGAGCGATGCATGCCCTCCGAGCTTCTTGTTTATAATTATCACATTATTTTCCCTGTATCTAAAATTAAAAAAACGCAAATCTTTGGTCCGTTTTTGTTTTGTTTTGTTTTTAGGCTTCTTCATATCTGTCCGTTATTTTGGCTTCTTGCTGTTTATTAGGAGAAATATTTGGTAGTCTTCCAGAATGATTTGTAGACGTTTCTAATAGACGTGTAACATTATACACACACTTCATACCATCCCACAACACACATAAACGCTATATATCGAGATTGCTTATCGCGTTTGCGTTTTTGCACCTTGACAAATCTTTCTTCTGGAATGAGAAGATTGTAAACAAATACTGATTGTGAGCGTTCCCCCAACATACCTCACTTAGCTATCCCCTGGTATAGATATAAAACGACACAAATCATTAACAATAAGTTAGAATGGTAATAAATTTGGTAACTTACGTCATTCGTCCAACTCCTCCTATTCCTCCTTTTTCTGCTCCTCTTCCGCTTCTTTCCCTCCTCACCCATTTCATTTACGCTAGATGTCTTACAATGAACCATGCAAGTTATTTCGTCCGTCAGCTTTTCCGTCCTTGGCTGAACCTGTATAATCCTAAGCTGAACCTGTATTGTCCTCGGCTGAACCAGTGTTGTCCTTGGCTGAACCAGTGTTGTCCTTGGCTGAACCAGTATTGTCCTTGGCTGAACCAGTATTGTCCTTGGCTGAACCAGTATTGTCCTTGGCTGAACTTGTATTGTCCTTGGCTGAACTTGTATTGTCCTCGGCTGAACCTGTTTTGTCTTTGCTTGACCAGATTGTCCTCGGCTGAACCAGTATTGTCCTTGGCTGAACTTGTATTGTCCTCGGCTGAACCACTATTGTCCTTGGTTGAACTAATGTTGTCCTAAGCTGAACCTGTATTGTCCTGGACAGAACCAGTGTTGTCCTTGGCTGAACCTGTATTGTCCTCGGCAGAACTAATGTTGTCCTAAGCTGAACCTGTATTGTCCTGGACAGAACCAGTGTTGTCCTTGGCTGAACCGGTATTGTCCCTCGGCTGAACCAGTGTTGTCCTTGGCTGAACCAGTATTGTCCCTCGGCTGAACCAGTGTTGTCCTTGACTGAACCGTTATCCTTGGTTTAACATGTAAGGTCCTTTCTTGAAAAAGTATTACCGTCGACTGAACTAGTATTGTCATTGGCTGAACCAGTATTGTCCTTGGCTTAACCAGTATTGTCCTTGGCTTAACCAGTATTGTCCTTGGCTGAACTAGTATTATCATTGGCTGAACCAGTATTGTCCAAGCTGTTCTTGGTTGAGACTGTCCTGTCCTAGTCTATCAACGTACTGTCCTATATTTCTCATGTACCTTCCAGCCTAAATCTATGTTGTCTCAGGCAGCACATGTATTGTCTTTGGGCTCACCTGTATTGTCCTAGGCTGAACCTGTATTATCCCTGGCTACCCATGTTTTGTCCCGCGTCTTCAGTTAAATAAAGTTCCACTGTTTACTTTCAAACATTCAAGTTTCCATCAGTAAATGTTCGCATTAAGCCTTAGGACGGGTTCAGCACGCGCGCGGGATCAGCAGGGAATTATGCGATAATTAAGACGCGCTATTCCATTGAAATAGTTTTTACTCACTGTTGCTGCATATCTTACAACTATAGGGCAACTCTTATCAACCCTATCAAATTATACATTTAAACTCATATTCTCACGTGCACTATTTACGTAACATAACAGTGCACGCGTATTTACCCCCGGTGATCCTGGTTATGCACGCGTGGGCTGCTGCCGTGTTATGTGGCCAATATTGAGATATTGAATATCAGTCGAGGTTTCTAATTGGCGGGTCGTGCCCGGTTACCGGGGGAGGGGAACGGAATTGGGGTTGAAAAAGCCCTAATGTGAAACGAGGCAAGTACTGCCTCTGATTACAAAAGAATCCAGCAAATTAACCGCACTTAACCTCGGGGTGTAAAACAGAAAACTGGGAACCTGCGCTAAAGGGATCGGGAGGGGGTGAACATGAAACTAGGGCTAGCGGGGGTGGAGAGATCAGGGGTCCTAGGTTAGTGGGAGGGGGGAGAACAGAAAACAAAAGGGTAGTAGGGGAGGGGGAGTACGAGTAATCAGGTGAGGGATGACCTAGGGACTGACGGCACTGAATGGTAGTAAGATGGCATAGAGAATAGGGACTTACACGATGTTATAGCTAGATGACGGGGAGGTGTATGTTAGTAAATTGGGAAAGGTAGAGCTACAGGTGAGATGGGGAAAGCTTAGACGTGGGAAAGTTAGAGGTAAGATGGGTTATGGAAAGCTATGATTGGGATTGAGGGAATTACGGGTGAACTGGAGAGAACTAAGGGTATGTTATGGAGTTAGGGAGAATTAGGGGAAGATTAGGACAGCTAAGGATTGGGTTTGGAAATGGAGAGAACTAAGGGTGGAATGTGGAGATAAGGAGAATTAAGGGTGGCATATGGTAGCTGGGCGAGATATCGAGTAAAGGATGTGCTAGGTAGAGCCAGGGTGGGATATCGAGTTAAGGATGTGTTAGGGAGGGCTAGGATGGGATTTCGAGTTAAGGATGTGTTAGAGAGAGCCGGATGGGATATCGAGTTAAGGATGTGTTAGAGAGAGCCAGGGTGGGATATCGAGTTAAGGATGTGCTAGGGAGAGCCGGTGTGGGATATCGAGTTAAGGATGTGTTAGGGAGGGCTAGGATGGGATTTCGAGTTAAGGAGGATGTGTTAGAGAGAGCCGGATGGGATATCGAGTAAAGGATGTGTTAAAGAGAGCGGGATGGGATATCGAGTTAAGGATGTGTTAGGGAGGGCCAGGGTGGGATATCGAGTTAAGGATGTGTTAGGGAGAGCCGGGTTGGGATATCGAGTTTAGGATGTGTTAGGGAGAGCCGGGGTGGGATATCGAGTTAAGGATGTGTTAGGGAGAGCCGGTTGGGATAGAGAGAGCTAGAAATTATATATTGAGAACGATATGTTTCACAGGAGGAACTAAATGTAGGGTATGAAGAGCTATGGATAGGGAAAGATATATGGATGGGATAGGGAGAGATATTGGTGGGATAGGGACTGATAAAGTTGTGATAGGGAGAAATATGGGCAGATAGAGGTAGGATAGGGGCTGATAGATGTGGGATATGATGAGATGGGTGGGATAGGGACTGATAAAGTTGGAATAGGGAGAAATAAGGGCAGATAGAGGTAGGCTAGGGGCTGATAAAGGTGGGATATGATGAGATGGGGTGGGACAGGGACTGATAAAGGAGGGGTAGGGAGAAATAGGGGCAGAAAGGGCTGGGATCTCTAGAGATATGTGTTGGATTGGGGGTAGTACATGTGGGATAGGGAGAGATAGTGATGGGATAGGGGCTCATAAAGGTGGTACATGGAGAAATAGGGGCATATAGGGCTGGGATAGGGAGATATATGGGTGGTATGGGGCTGATAGAGGTGGGATAGGGAGAGATAGTGATGGGATAAGGGCTCATAAATGTGGTACATGGAGAAATAGGGGCATATAGGGCTGGGATAGGGAGATATATGGGTGGTATGGGGCTGATAGAGGTGGGATAGGGAGAGATAGACTGGAATAGGGATATGTAAAGGGGTAAAATCGCTATGAGCAATACATGTAGGGGTGGTATAGAGTTTTATCAGTGATACCGACTTGTAACCTTCCAGTACGTGCATGACAAACGTAAATTGTTAAAGCGAACGATACCTTTGTTGTTGTTTTGTAGCTAAATTCAGTGCAATATACAAGGCCATAAGTCAGTGTTCAAACGTTAGAGGTCACGAAAGTGACATGGTCACGTTTGATATGATACAGGTGTCCTCCGCGCCCCATTAACTAAGCCTCAATGTTAAATGGTCGAACATACAAATATACACACATCGTCGGGGAACAATTTAGCCAATTTACTCCCAAGATTGGCATACGTGTGTAAAATTGTCAAACTTGAGATAAGTGTAATAGATAACATTCTTTTTTCTTATATAGAAAAAAAATCCAGGCTAAGCTTTGGTTTTACTCATTCACCCCTGACATTTCATAATAGACTATTCCAACCTTTGAATTGAAAGAGTTCAAATGTGTCTTCAGGGGTAAATGAGTTAACTTGTGATATTCAATTACCTAGAGCAACAAAACGTCTGCAAAATACTGTTTTCTCCATTTGGTACAAAGTCTTAATCTTAAAGATAGATACGCGACCTTGACAGTGACCTTGACATGTGCATGGGTTTTATTCTCAGACGCTTGTGTGCTTCTTTATTTGTATAATGTCTGTGTGAACACTTATTGTAGAAAGTTTTGCGACATTCGATACATTGCTTAAGGAAAGATTGATGAAAGTTACACTTATATTCAATGACCTTATGACCCCATGGACCTTGAACCTCCCGACAGCCACGTAACGTGTTTTGGTTTTCATTTTTCAGTTTGAAAGATTTCGATGTTTCTAAAAACTTAAACCAAGTGACCTTGTGACCTTGAACTTTGACATTCAGTATGAGCAGCCTTCAGACCTACTCCTATAACATGAGAGGTCGGTTACTTTTTATCGGATATGATTGTTAGTGCTGACTGCAAAGGCGGTTGTCAAAAGTTACTCGATGTGTTAAACTTCTAACGCTGTTGGAGTACTTTCATGCCCCTCTCTTACTTTCTCAAGCAACGCAAACAAAAATAAACAGTAATTACATGTTTGGTCATACCATATAGGACCTGCTTCATACGAGCACTTCTGATCCCAGAAAACATTTCCATGATCTCCTGTTCACAAAACCTGACAAATATGATTTCATAGCACAGGCACTAGCCTCGTCTGTCAATACACCTACAATATGATTATATTATAGGTGTATTGACAGACGAGGCTATAGCACCTGTGTTCATAGTAAGGAGTTTGACTAACGTCCCTAGCCACATCATGTCAGTAGATGTACTTTTAAATTTAATAAACATGTGACGGATGATTGGCCGAACGTATGGGCGGGCGAAATGGACAAACATATTTTTACAAAAAAATATCCCTGTCATTCATACCACGAACTCAATCGGGAACCTTCGGCACTTTCCGTAAACGAGTATAATTCAAAATGAAAACTAGACTATGTTAGTGTTATGATCATAAGATATCTCGGATAGTACGTTAATATTAGCAATTGATCGTACAGCTATCAAGAGACTCTTACTTAACTCATTAACCCCTGAAGACACATTTGAACTCTTCCAATTCAAAGGCTGGTATAGTTCATTATGAAATTTCAGGGGTGAATGAGTTAAATGTGCGGGGATGCTTTGCACTCAATCTAGGTTATATTTTTATCTAAAAACCTGAACAGAGACGCACTGATCCCGGCTTTATCACTTACTAATCAAAAATTTAAACTGTATATCTGACCCCGGCAGAAAACACATGCGTGGATTTTCAAATAGACAGATGTCTCTCCTGAGTGTTTTCATGGTACGCAATTTCCTGTTTCCCCATTATATATCAACATTGTTTCCCTCTAGAGAATAAAACGTCAGGTTATTACCACGTGACAAATCTTGGTTTCTCGTTAAAAAATCCCATTAAAAGTTTTGATAAAGTAAATAGATATTTGTGACATATATTGTTGAATATATTTCCCCATGATAACGTGGCGAAATAGAAGGATGACAAGATTTGTGTCCGTCATGTGTGCGTTTTTCAGGGGAGCGTTTATGTAGCTCCCCAGATTTTTGGAGTTTTAAGCACTCGGACATCAAACTAAAATAAATTAATCAAAAATAACAGTAAATATTGCAAACCCCCCCCTCTCATCCCAACCAACCCCACCCCCACACTCCATCTCCTATCATACCCTCATCTCACCAATTATCTCTCTTAACCTTACATTCCCACCATCCGACC